CGCGCACCTCCCGGATCATGTCCCACGTGAACTTGGTGGGTTTGGTGAGACGTCCGCGATGGCAACTGTGCCTTGGTTTGCTCACATTCTTAGTCACCTTGTGGCCCTTGTTGAGGCCCACGGCCATGGGGTAGCGGAGGGCCACGGCTACTATTCTTCGCTGGTTGCTGTGGCGGTTGAGTTTGTTTAACTTTGTGGTGGGAGTGTTCTACTATTGCTTGGCCAGTGGGGTTGTGTGGAATTCCCATTTAGTGAGTAATATCCCATTGGGAACAGAATGTGGTGACGCATGTGAAGCATAAGCAGGACCACTGTCTGTTTTTAACTCTGTTGGTTTGTCCATAACTGCTGTGGCAGCTGGAATATGTTGGTTAGCTTGATTTGTGTTTTTTTCTTTATGGGCAAACATACTGTGAATATGTGTCAATACGGACATGTAGATAAGAATAAGGAGCTAAAGGGGGAAAATGAGTAACATCCACTCGCCATATTTCAGTAACCTTTAAACCTCTGTGGTTGGCTCCAAAGGAGGAAGGAAAATTAGGAATACACTGATTACATGACTTAACTATATTTTGAGCTTGTGTTAAAGGAATGTGAAATTATTTTTGTAAAGAGCGAGCATTTTGGTGAAAGAATTGATGATTGGTAAGTGGGCCTATAAACAAAGGTAATAAAGAGTCAGCATATTATTGCTTTGTGTAAGGAGGTCAGGTAGTTTAAGGTGTGATTTAGTATGATAAATGTAAACCAAATGTGAGCGGTGCCGCAGTAGCTTGTAGAGAGATAAACAAGGAATGTAACGTAGAATGAAGAGCAGAAGATAGGATGGCATCCAGAATGTGTTGTGCTACACAGCAGGCACAGGCATTGTCATAAGTACTTACAGGTTGGTTGTCGAATAGCTGGAGAGCTAGTAGAATGGCTGCCAGCTCACTTTGCCATGGGCGGATATAAGGGAGTGTGGCTCTATGGCGCCAGGTGTGATTTGTTTGCCGCGTTACTACTCCCTTAGTTCTGTTTCCATCAGTGAGTACTGTGAGTCCTAAAACCGGCTTATCGGATGGAATCATGGAAGGATGAAAAGAAAAGGTAGGAAGAGCCTTTTGTAGATATGATAAGCGTGTGTCGTGGGCAGAGAGAACTGTATTTGGAAGAGACTGGTGGTAAACACGGATAAGGGTCGTCATGCAAAAAGACATGGTGAGCATCTTTTTCAGAGGGAACCCAGTGGGTGATATAGCAAAGCCAAATAAATGTATGGCTCATTTAATAGCACGTTTCACCAGATCTGCAGTTTAACTTGCAGAACTATATCGAGTCCTTTTTATGGTGTGAGGTGTGTGGAGCCATTCTAAAAAATACCATTTGTTCTTATGCTGTTGGGCTAATACCCCCATATAATAAGGTTGATGGGGTATTAGAATGAAATGACATATCTCCTTATTTAAGGGAGTATGATCTACAAAAGGGATATCCAGTATAGAATTAAAGTACTGTAGAGCTTGTTTAGCAGGGGGAGAGATAGGTAATGTTTGTGAGATAGAAGTAGAGGAAGAGAGCAATTGAAAGAGTGGACTTAATGTTGTGTGTCGATGGGGTAATGGGGGCAGCCAACTTATATTTCCTAATAATTGTTGTAACTTAGGGAGGGATAAAGAGCTAGGAATACCTAATTTTATGGAAGAGGGAATTGAATATGCCCTAGTAAATTTATGACCAAGGTATTGCATGGGTTATTGTCTTTGAATTTTATTTTATTTTTATTTATTTTTTTGCCATAATTTTATTGATAAATAGCAATGAGACAGTTTCAAATCAAATCGGTAGGACAGTTTCAATAATTAACACACTGCATACATTCTTCTTAGTGGTTAATTGCTGTTGAATTTTATTTATTTTTTTAAGTATTATTATTCTTTTGTATTTAGGACAGGGTCTCCGGGGTCTCACAGCATAGATTGGACTTGCAGTGATCCCTCTGTTTACAGCCTCCCAAGTGCTGGTATTACAGGCATGTGCCACCACGTCCAGTCTCAGTCAGTGTCTCAGCGTGCCCCCGGCACAGCAGGCCTGGGGATCAAATCGAACTCCCACCCCTGCATCTGCCTAATCCGCTATTTGGCTGGCTCTTTGTCTCTGAATTTTATCAGAGGCTTTTTGACATCCTTGTTCTGATAATATTAAGAAGGGGAGACAATATATTGTCCATACAATGGTAGATAAGATGAGAAGGATATCGATTTCTGTATGGTAAAAGGGCTTTATCCACAAAATATTGACATGTGGTAGGACTAGTCGTCATCCCTTGTGGCAGGTGAACCCATTGATAACATCTTTGCGGGCTTTGGTTATTGATAATTGGGAGAAAAAAGGCAAACTTTTCTCTATCCTGAAGTTTTAATGGTATTGAAAAAAAGCAGTCCTTTAAATCAATAATAAAGCATTGATAGTCAAAGGGAATTAAATTTGGGTTTGGTAAGCCTCCTTGTAATGGTCCCAGGGGTTTCATTATAGCATTAATAGCTCTTAAGTCTTGTAATAACCGCCGCGTTCCAGATTTCTTTTTTATAACAAAGATTGGGGTATTATAAGGAGAGATAGATTCTTCTATATGTCCCAAGTGTAGCTGTTCTGACATTAGGGCCTCTGCAACATGTAATTTTTCTTGTGAAAGGGGCCATTGACCTACCAAGTATAACCTGTGGTTAACCATTGTATGGGTAGCATATTATCTGCAGAGGCCCCTACAAAAAAGGGGTTTCAGTAGTATAGTGAAGCATTGAAAGAATGTCTCTTCCCCAGATAATAAAAGGGGTTTTGAGAATGTATGGAGTAATATAGCCAAGGATAGGTGAGTTTAGATCTTTTTTGTACTCTTAAACAGATTTGACTCTGATAAGCCTCTGACTATCTCCCTAGTCCCCATAGTTTAGGCACTTTTTGTTTTGGCCAAGCTTTTGGCCACATGTGTGTAGGAAATACAGTAACATCCGCTCCAGTATCAAGCAGATCCTGTAGCTCCTGAGATTGTATTACTAAGTTTAAGGTGGGCTTGACAGGGGTAATTGGTACAGTTAATGCACATATAGTGCTCCTGAAGCCTTGATCTCCTCTTTTATTTTCAGTCACTTGACTTTGAAAATAAGGCCAATTGACCAGTTATGCTGGTGAGGATACCTTCGATACTAACTGTGTTTTCATGATCCATAATTGTATTTTTATAATTCCCATATAATCACTGTCAATAACACCTGGGGTGACAAACAGATTATTTTTTGACTATGGGATCTAGATAGTATTAACCCCATATGTCCTACTTGTAATGGTCCTTTTAGTTGGGAGTCTACTAAATATACTTTTCCTGTCATCTCTAATAAGACATCTTGTATAATTAAATCTATGCCAGTGCTCCCTCTTGTGGCATGAAAGGATTGGTAGGGAGTTTGGTCGTGGTATTTACTTGGGCTGTCATGATCTTTTCCCTCTTTTGCCCGGAGCTGCGGGTATTCCCGGTATGGGGTTTCCCTGACTGAAAGAAGTTGATCAACATTGATTAGCCCAGTGATGTCCTTTATGACATCAAGGACATTTTTGGGAAGGCCGATTTTTCTTTTTTTTCACCATCTTTTGGAATATGCCCTGGCCTTCCACAGTTACAACAATGAGCGCTGGTTTTAACACTGCAGCCATCAAGGAAGCTCCGTGAGTTTCAGTTCCTCCTATGACATGCCTTAGTCATATCGGCCAAGGAAGTTTCTGGCTTTCCAACTATGCCTTTAAGAACAGCGTGACAATCAGTTTGCCTGTTCATGTGCCAGTTTTAACATTAATTCGTTAGCCACTACTTCATTAGTAATCTGTCTCTCTAGTGCTCATGTGAGCTGCTCAGTAAAGGCATCATATGGTTGCTGAGGACCTTGTCTGACTTTAGTAAATGCTCCTCCTGCTTCCTTATTGTCCGGCCTTCGTTTGCAGGCCTGCATTGTTGTTTCAGGTACCTGCAGCACAACTGTGGCTGGGGCCAAGCCCCAGGCCACCAAAATCAGATGTGGTGGTGCACACCTGTAATCCCAGTGCTAGGGCAGATGACGCAGGAGGATCACTATGAATCTGAGCTGCGTAGTGAGACCCTGTACCAAATACATAAATAAATAAATAAAGATTAAAAATCAAATCGTTCTTCCTAGAAACAAATAAATATAGTTCTTACGCTGCAGATATAGCTCAGCGGCACAGCATCCGTCTGGCAAGCTTAATGTCCTGAGTTCCATTTGCAATACCAAAAAAAAAAAGTTTCTGTTCTATCTAACTTCTTAACCTCATATCTGAACCATTTACATCAGATTCCACCTCCATCCTTTAATTCTTACTTGCATCTCCTCCTCAGCATTATTTGTATTTTTCCATTTGCTACCAGAACACAGATAGCTTGGAAGTTTCAGTGAGTTGTATGTTAATTTATTTGCAACATCCTGTCAGTGTTGTATTCTGCTTTGTACTTTTAATGAAAAGCTTCTTTTTGTGTGCAATAAATACTCTCTTTCTACTTGGAACTAGAGGTGTCACTCAATGGTAGAACAGTTGCTTGCATGTACAAGGCTCTGGGTTAGATCCCTAACACCAAACAAAAAAATTTTAATGTATATATTTCTAGCATTTATTTATTTATTTATTTAATTTAGTACAGGATCTACCAGATCTCACTACATAGATCGGACTTGTAGTGATTCTCCTGTGTTCAGCCTTCCAAATGCCGGGGTTACAGGTGTACACCATCATGCCCACTCTCAATCAATGTCTCAGCGCACCCCAGGAGCAGAGTTGGCATGGCATGCCAGAGATCAGATGATCCCCGGCTGCTGCGCTCTGCTTAAGCAGGCATTTTAGTCAACTGAGCCCTCTGGCCGGCCCTTCTAGCATGTATTTAACCCATTTAAAGATCTGATTCTCTTCAACAAGGACATGATAACATTTGTATTTTTAATTGTTTTTACCAGAATGGGAGACAATGATGGAGAATGAGGAGGTGACACCAGAGCAGAATATTTCTCAAAGATCAGACTCTCAGAGAGGAACATCAAAAAGACTTCAAGATGGTGTTCCCCAGGACCTTGACTTTGAGGAAGAGTGTGAATGGCAAGTTTTGCCAAGTCAGTTGGGAAATGAAACTGAGGAAAGAGTAGCTATATTGGAGAAGGTTTCCATTTGTGAACCAGACAAGAAGAAAAGGACTCTACTAGAAAAACAGAGCCAGAACGGGAAAGAATTTGTAAAAAACTTGATTTTAGGTTCAACTATTTCTGAAAGCTTAATTGGTACTGAAGGAAAGAAGTTTTATAAATGTGATATATGTTGTAAACATTTTAATAAAATCTCCCATCTTTTAAACCATCAGAGAATCCACACTGGCGAGAAACCTTACAAATGTAAGGAATGTGGAAAAGGCTTTATTCAGCGCTCAAGCCTTCAGATGCACTTGCGGAACCATTCTGGGGAGAAGCCTTACAAATGTAATGAATGTGGAAAAGCATTCTCTCAGAGCACTTACCTCCTGAATCACCAGAGGATCCATACGGGAGAGAAGCCTTACAAATGTAAAGAGTGTGGGAAGGGCTTCTACAGGCACTCAGGTCTGATTATACATCTACGCCGCCACTCAGGAGAGAGACCTTTTAAATGTAATGAGTGTGGGAAAGTTTTCTCCCAAAATGGATACCTTGTTGACCATCAGAGGCTCCACAAAGGGGAAGAGCCTTACAAATGCAACAAGTGCCAGAAAGCTTTCATTCTGAAGAAGAGCCTCATTCTGCACCAGAGAATCCACTCTGGGGAGAAACCCTATAAATGTGATGAATGTGGAAAAACATTCGCTCAGACTACATACCTTGTTGACCACCAGCGACTCCACAGTTCAGAGAACCCTTACAAGTGTAAAGAGTGTGGCAAAGTGTTCATTCGAAGTAAAAGCCTCCTCTTGCACCAGCGAGTCCACACAGAAAAGAAAACCTTTGGTTGTAAGAAATGTGGAAAAATTTTTAGTGCTAAGTCAAACCTCATTGACCACAAAAGGATGCACAGCCGAGAGAAGCCCTACAAGTGCACTGAGTGTGGGAAAGCCTTCACACAGAGTGCTTACCTCTTTGACCACCAGAGGCTTCACAATGGAGAGAAACCTTATGAGTGTAATGAGTGTGGGAAAATTTTCATTCTGAAGAAGAGCCTCATTTTACATCAGAGGTTCCACACTGGAGAGAACCTCTATGAATGTAAAGACTGTGGCAAGGTCTTTGGTTCTAACAGAAACCTCATTGACCATGAGAGACTCCACAATGGAGAGAAACCATATGAATGTCGAGAATGTGGGAAAACCTTTATCATGAGCAAAAGTTTCATGGTCCATCAGAAACTCCATACCCAGGAGAAAGCATATAAATGTGAGGATTGTGGGAAGGCTTTTAATTACAATTCAAGCTTGCTTGTGCACCGGAGAATTCACACTGGAGAAAAGCCCTTTGAATGTAGTGAGTGTGGCCGAGCATTCAGCTCAAACAGAAACCTCATTGAACATAAGAGAATTCATAGTGGCGAGAAGCCCTATGAGTGTGATGAGTGTGGCAAATGCTTCATTCTGAAGAAAAGCCTCATTGGACATCAGAGGATTCACACGCGGGAAAAATCTTACAAATGCAGTGACTGTGGGAAAATCTTCAGTTACCGCTCCAACCTGATAGCCCACCAGAGGATCCACACTGGTGAGAAGCCCTATGCATGTAATGAGTGTGGGAAAGGCTTTACCTACAATAGAAACCTTACTGAACATCAAAGAATTCACAGTGGGGAAAAGACCTATGAATGCCATATATGTAGAAAAGTCCTTACCTCTAGTCGAAACCTTATGGTACATCAAAGAATCCACACTGGCGAGAAACCTTATAAATGTAGTGAGTGTGGAAAGGACTTTAGTCAGAATAAAAACCTTGTCGTACATCAGAGAATGCACACTGGGGAAAAACCTTATGAGTGTGAGAAGTGTAGGAAATCCTTTACTTCTAAGAGGAATTTGATTGGCCATCAACGAATCCATGCAGGAGAGAAACCCTATGGTTGTAATGATTGTAGTAAAGTGTTTAGGCAAAGAAAAAACCTTACTGTACATCAGAAAGTTCATACAGATGAAGAGGCCTGTGAATGTGGTGAGTCTGAGGAATTACGTCAAACATCAAACCTTCATCTTCAAAAAATGCATATGAAAGAGGAGTTCTGGCTACAAAATACCAGTGAGTCCAACATGGAGGGCCAGAAATTTTGATGGAGGACTGGGGATGTGGCTCAGTGATACAGCACTTATCTAGTATCTGCAAGTCCCTGGGTTCAATTCCCAGCAGCATAGAAAAGGAAAAAAAAATCACATAAAATGCAATGGACTCCTGAAAACTAACTGTTGGAGGAGTTGAGTGGACAAGAATTTACTGTTTGAATGTTGGACATAGTGTCACATGCCTATAATCCCAGCACTTGGGAGGCTGAAACAGGAAAATTGCTATGAATTCAAGACTAGCCTGGGCTACATAGTGAGTTTAAGGCCAGCCTGAACTGCAGAGTGAGACCTGTCTCCAAAATAATAATTAAAACCCTACTGTTTGAGAACAGCCTAAAAGGAACGCTGGATTTAGCATCAGGAGAGCTAGATTTGGATTCTGTACATGTATGTGTGCATGTGTGTGTGTCTGTGTGTGTGCGTGTGTGTGACTGGGGACTGAACTCAGGACATTTGCACTGAGCTACATCCTTCACCTCTTTTTAAAATTTTTGCCAAGTCACTAATTTACCCAAACTGAGTTCAAAGTTGTGATTTTCTGCTTCAGTCTCCAAGAATTGCAAGAAAACAGGCATACACCACCACAGCTGACTTAGGTTTTATTTCTGACTTTCTATTACTATGTGATGTTATTAGATCTGCCTCCAAGCCTCCGTCTCTGTCAGTTAAATGTTGACATAATGCCTCCCTTGCAAGATGGTTGTAACCATTAAGTACGGGGCCTTTGTGAAGTCATTCATGAGTCAATAAAATTGTTATAGAAGAGGTGTGTTTTGAGTCTAGGTCATTACATAATACTTGTTCATTAAGTCATTAGAATGAGGGGGATTCCCTGAGCCTCAGACACTCATTTTTGTAAGTGGAAGCATGGCAGACAGCTAACTTTGGGATTTAGTTTTCGAAGAAAATATTTAAAATACAGCTGTAAAATATTAATGTATAATATGTCTACTTAGTGGGTTTTGTGTGTGGGTGGTATCAGGGATCAAATTTGGGACCTTGCACTTGCCAGGTGGGCATTTATGCTTCTGAGCTATCTTCCTGGCCCACTCTTGCTTGTTTTTAATGGAAAAAATGTTTGTTTGTTTGTTTGTTTTTAAGGGGAAAAGGTTTATTTAGCTCGTAGTTTGTAGAGGTCAGTCTATATTAGCGGGCTCCAAGGCAGTGTGGCACGTGACACAGGGGCAGCAGTTCATGGTGATGGAAGACAGAAAAAGCAACAAGAGAAGCACAGAGAGCGAAAAAAAAATATTAATTGCCAGCCATTAACACTAAGGTCAAGGAAAGTTATTTTTCAGTCCTTGAAACTCACTATATGTCGTGCATCAAAATGAAAGGAAGTCTTATCTTCCATTTCTTTTTCTTAGAAATCCATCATCCCATTAACTGAGCTGATGGTCTCTTGATACAGTCTCAATTCTGATAAGTATTTAATAATTGCTTTCCTGTGGTAGCTTATTACTAAACTGAAACTGAAATTACCTTCTGTCCAAGAACTTAATTTATAATGTACAGAGCCAATCCCTACATGTTTGGCTGAAGTCAATGCAGTACTCCTGCCTGGGAAGCACTGCCCATTACTCTCTATCAGTGATGCCATTCAGCCTGTGTCCTGTTGTATATTTGTAGAGTAACGCAGCAGATGTTCTTGAGTTCACAATTTTATGTAATTCCTAAAACTGTAGTTTTGCCGCTGGCAAATAAATCCATCTCAGGATTGTGTTTTCTCATACTAGTAATATAAAAGTGGGCTTTCATTTGTATGTATTTTGGGGATAAAAATAAAGTTTGTAAATATAAAAAAAACCATGCACTTGCTACATATCACTAATTGCATGCCTGACCATCCCAAGAAATGAAAATTTATATTCAGCCCAGAACTTGTATGTCAGTGTAATAGCAGCAGTATTATTCGTAGTTAAAACCTTTAGGCAACTCAGATATTCTTTTATCAGATGACCAAATGCTGGCATTCCTATCCCAAGGAATAGTTAATGGGTTGTGATAAGAGGGAATGATCTTTTGGCTATCACAACAATTAGAATGAACTTCAAGGGAGTTCAGGGACAGCCAGATAGCTCAGTGGATTAAAGCCCCTGTGAGCAGGTGCAGGGGCCGGGGGTTTGGTCTCTGGGCCCGCTGTGGGTGCGCTGAGATGGCAATTGAGATGGCATGGTTGTGCACGCCTGTAACCCCAGCTCTTGGGAGGCTGTAAACAGGTGAATCACTATGAATCTGATCTAGTACTGAGACCCTGAACACCCTGTAGACATTTCCCTAAAAATAAAAAAAGGGAAATCATATTGAGAAATTATTCATTTCAAATTGTTATATATTGTACTATTCCATTTTCAAAACATTCTCAAAATGCCAGGATATAGGGATGAGAGACTAGTGGTTATCAAAGGTTAGTGTTGGGAGGGAGGAGGAAGAGAGGTTGGCTGTAGCTGCAAAAGAGCAACAGGTAGGAGGAGCTGCTGGTGGTGCCATGTGTCTGCACTGTGACGGTGGCTACACAAACTAATGCAATGATAGGAAAGATATATACCATATATATCACACTGATGTTGATTTCCTGATTGTGATAAGATTATGTATGCTGTAACTTGGTGAAGGGTACCATTTCTGCGACTTCCTGTCAATTTATTTCAAAATAAAAAATAAACAACAAAAAATTAGCCATAATTGCATACAGTATTGTGGGATTTCCAAAAAAATTTTTTTTGAAATATGTTTTAGGACAGTTGGAGAAATTTGAATGTATTCAGATTAGATGGTATTAAGAATTATTGTGAAGTTCCTTATCTGTGATGGTGGTATTAGTTTGGAAAATACTTGTCTTCCTGGGGCTGGTGAGATGGCTCAGTGGTCTAAAGCACCTACTTAGAACAAGCTAAGCTAAGCTAAGCAAAGCACAGGGACCGCAGTTCAATCCCCCAGCACCACATGCCAGCCAGCCCCGTCCCCTGGTGGGCTGAGCTGGTCACACACACACAAAATAAATAAATAAATATTTAGAAAATACTTGTCTTCTTATAAAGGAATGCGTTTTGAATATTTGGAATGAAGTGTTTTGAGGTTACAGCTTTCAGAAAAATGTCATTAAATGTGTAAGGAAACAGACGGCAAGAGCGAGATGTTCATTACTGACCCAGAGGAGCCTACGGGAGTTCACTGTATCATTCTTTTACATTTTCTGCACTTTCGATATTTGCAAAATAAATGGTTAGCTAGGAAATCATTAGGGCTTTCCACAGAGTGCTTCTTTGTGGCTCCCGGCCTCGGAAGCGTTCCCGAAGGACCGCCCCTGCCCACCTCAGTGTCACATCCTCTGGGGCGCTCCCTCCCTCTCGCGGGCCTGGATGACTGTGGACGGCCACCGAGAGGAACGGTCCTCCAAGCTTCCTAGGAAGGCCAGTTGGAGGCCGGAACCGGAAGTCCTTCGCGACACTTCCTGTCTGTTCATTGTTCTCCCGCCCGCCGGAGTGGAGCGCTGGACGACTACATCTTCGGCACAACCGGTTGCGGCGGCTATCGCTGTAAGTTGTGGGGCTGCTGGGCGCTGGCGGGCTCGGGAACGGAGAGGACCCGGCCTGCGCCTCGGCGGGCTGTGGCCGCAGCGTCGCGCGTCCGGCTTCCTCCGCCCGGGTGTGGGCCGTGAGAGGACGAGCTCGGAGGCCCCCAAGCACCTGCAGCCGCGGGCCGGGCCGTGGGAGCCTGGGGTGCCGGGGACCGGGGCGCAAAGGGCCGCCTGGACGGAGGGCGCGTGCGCCGGGCGGAGGTCCACTGAGTCTCCCCAGAAGTCCGCGACGGCGCAGAAGGTGGCCCTGTCCTGTGAGCACCAGATGGGACGGGTGTGTACGGGCCTCCCGGCCGCTGAGGAAAGAACAGCTCTGCAGCCTGGGGAGCTGCCGCAGGAATCTCCAGAAAGTCAGTGCACGCAGAAAATCGCCATTAAGTCAGGCAGGAAAAAGAATATGATCGCTTCCAGAGCTGCAAAAGGGGTCTGCAATGTTCAGTATCTTTCTAGTAAAAGATACAAATAGAAATAAGAAAAAATTAAATTTCACAATTAGCTAGAATAGTAAAATTATTTGACTCAAAAACTAAAAACAAACAGAAAACCTTTCTGGTGTGGTGCTGATCCAGGGGTCCCGTTGTTGGTGGTGTGACCTAGCGACCTTTGGGAAAGCAATTTGACAACATGTACCAGCTATAAACTGTTTAGACCAGAGATTCCTTTGTTTATTCTAGGGAACATTGCAGTAGAAGAAAGAAGTATTTGCACAGGCAAAATAGTTCTACCATTATTAAGAAAATAAGTGGGAGGCCTGGGCGTGGTGGTGTACACTTGTAATCCCAGCTCTCGAGGCAAAAGCAGGAGGATTTCAAAAGAGAGAAAAGAGAAAAAGGCTGAAAGTAAGAAAAGAACAAATCAAGACTTCTTTTATTAAAAGAATGGTTCGTAAACAAGGTATAGTAGCTGGGCATTGTAGTGCAGGCCTGTAGTTCTAGCACTTGGGAGGCTGAGGCAAGAGGATTGGCCAAAGTTGATGCCAGTCCAATCTACAAAGTGAGTTCAAGACCAGCCTGACTGTGTTGTGAGACCTTGTCCCCAAAAATAAAAAAGTGAAAAAAAATTTTTCAAAAGCAATGAAACATAATGTAAAATATTTTTTAAAAGTTGAGTAGTTAACTACATAGTAGTCGTAACTTAGATTCCTATGCCAAAAAGAGAAATGTAAATACGTGTATTCTCCAAAACTAGTGTGCAGTGTAGAGTTCATGTGGAATATGGAATTCATTAACAGTATAGGTTGCTGAATAGTGTAAAAGTGTTATCTAAAATGTTTTTTTGAAAAAGCAGCACTTGTGAAGCTGCACCTACGTGTTTGTAAATGCAGAGAAGAGGAAGGAGGTTGGGGGAGTGTAGGACATATATTTAAATGTATCTCTGAATTGATCCTTTTTCAATGAAAGAGTAAATGGAGCTCTACCACAGATTATTGTATAGCAGTTGAAACTAAACATCGAGTGGAAATCTGCAAATAATTTTATTGTTTAGTCTTAAGCTCTCAAAGACATTCAGATGATGTGGAAAATGCAGAAATCAAAAAGAGCTCTGAAAAATACTAGTAATTGTACCCTCTGGAGATACTGCCCACTCTTAATATGCTGATGTTTTTCTTGGGATTTGATTGTACACTTTTTTTATCCTTGGTCGTGCTTGCTTCGGCAGCACATACCCTTTTTTATCCTTGGTAATAAAGAAATCTGTATGTTTTTTTTTTTTTTTTGGTTTTGGTTTTGGTTTTTTGGCGGAACCAGGGATTGAACTCAGACCCTTGCGCTTGCCAGGGAAGCATTTATTCTACTGAGCCATCTCCCCGGCCCCCAAAACCTGTATGTTTTAATATCCCTTCCAAAATTCCACTGGGATGATGTTTGAAAATAGGTATTCTTCATAGTCAAAAACAAAAGGTTTGTAGGGTCACAGTATTTTTAGTATAGTTCTGAAGATTTTTCCCTTAAAAGAAGTATCTTGAATTCTGCTATATATATGCTGGCTAATTTTTTGGAGGCAAGCTACAGTTGATCTTTCTTAATCATTCTCTATGTTTTTAAGGCTTTTATATTTAAATCATCTTAACCTTTAGTGAGCGAAATAGTGTTACATAAGGCTATTTGCTTATAGTTCACCCACTTCTATTTTAGAAAAGAGGAGTAGAACATGTCCTGTGTTATGATGACTGTGGGCTGAAATTGGCCTGTGGGCCAGTGTAGCATCCAAGCAAATCTGTGCTTGGTACTAAGAATGTTTTCCAATTTTTCAGTAGGCAGTGCCCATCCTGGGAAGAAAAAGGAGAAGCTTTTGAAGCTTAGCGCTTCAATGGGGTTTGAGCCCTCCTGGGTAGCCCCCAGCTACAGGAGTTGCTCTGCTGAGCAAGAAGATGACTGCAGAATTAAAAGAGGCCATGGCCCTAGCACCTTGGGGCCCAGTGGAGGTGAAACAAGAGGAGGAAGAGGATGCGAATATCCTGAGTCAAGCATCCAGCCAACAGATGCGTGCTGAGAACATCAAGGTGTGGACCCCAGGAGAGGGTCCTCAGCCAGGTGACTTATCAGAAGAGGAGAAAAAGGTAAATGAGGGTCTGGGAAGAGAGACCAGAAGGCCTTAAGTAGTTTCCACGGGGCTCTGCTCCCCTGCCTCCAATGCTATAGTGAGGTTTCCTGGCTGGGGCTCTTCTGTTTGGTCCTTCACAGTATGACAGAGCTATTCCTTTCTCATCGATTGTCATTCATTAGGTTCCGAGACTCAGTGTTTGTCACACATTGCTGTGGGAGCCTAGGTAACTTCTGTAAACTCTTGATATTACTGCTGTACTCTTCTAATTCAGTCAATACCTTGTAATATTGGGGTACATGCCTGTAATCCCAGCACTGGAGGCTGAAGCAGGAGGAATATTGTGAGTTCGAGATCCACCTGGGCTACAAAGTGAGCTCATGGCGAGCCTGAACTGCATAGCAAGACCCTGTCTCAAAAAGACAAAACGTATTCAGGTGGTTGGAGTTTAACAGCTCCGACCAGTCCTTCCCAAACCTTAACCTTAATGTACATAGAAATCAGCCAGGGGTCTCATTAACACTGATCTGATTCAGCTCCTCAGTGTGCCGTGAGATTCTGCACTGCTCACAGCTACAGGCCACGCGCTGTACCGTGAGGATTTGTGACCTCTGCGCACGTCTTTTCCAAACTCGCCCTCTGCCATGACCTGCCCTGAAGGGCTGAGGTCCCCAGAGCTGCCTGTAAGAATATCATGAGGACCTTACTTTGATCTTCAGGGCCCTGGACTCTCCTGTGACAAATCTTCCAAGTCTTCACTGGAAAGTTGAACTTGGGTGCCGGCCTGAGCAGTGGGGTGAAATCAAGGTGGCAAGCTTGCTTCTTTGCTCAGCTTTTGGCTGTGGCTACTCTAGCTTTCTTTTCCTTGTTTAATCATTATGTCTAATGTTCCTTAGGCTCCAGGATAGACACTGTGTTCTCACCCTCCAAGCCTTCACTACCCTACCCCTCCATCAGCCCCTCGTGAACCACCTCTACCTGCTTGTCTCTAGGGTCACAGCCTGTTCTGGGACATGGCAGTGGTCCTCAGAGCAACACAGGAGGCTCCTGCCGCTGCAGCCCTCGGCAGCTGCTCCGTCCCAGGGACTCTGCTCAAGAGTGAGATGCTGGAGACTCGTGGAGACCCGAACTTGCTAGGTAAGGCTCAGCTCCTGGATTTGGGGTCTGACCTGTGGGCCCTCTCTGATGCTTTGGTATTTCATGTTTTCTGGCAACATGAAACAGTCTCTGTCTTCATTCTGTAATCTCAGCTTTCTTTGACACAGTATAATCACCATTTCCTTGATGTTAGGGTCAGGGTCTGAGTTCTTTTTTTTTTTTTTTTGGCGGAACCAGGGATTGAACTCAGGCCCTTGTGCTTGCCAGGGAAGCGCTTTTTCCACTGAGCCATCTCCCCGGCCCTGGGTCAGGGTCTACTATGTTCAGTTTCCTTTTTAATCACTCCTGCTGCAGCTGACCATTGCCACAGTGACTCTCATTCCCAAGGGTTTGTCTTTTCTGTTCCCTCACACCCCTCTAATGTCACCATTCAGGCTGAGAGAACTTCAGGTGCCATGGTACTTAATCTGAGCAGCTGACATGAGTCACTCCTTTAATTCATTTCCAGCTTTTTGAAGCAGATAAATATTATCCCAGCTTAAGAGATTAGGAAACTGAATCCCAGAGAAGTAGTCTAAGAATCATGCAGCTCATTAGTGGTAGAACAGGAATTTGAAGCCAAGCACTGTAGTTCCAAAATCCTTGTTTTTTGTTTTTGTTTTTGTTTTTTTTGGTGGAACCAGGGATTGAACTTAGGCCCTTGCGCTTGCCAGGGAAGTGTTTATTCTACTGCCATCGCCCCGGCCCTCTACTTTTTTTTTTTTTTCAAAATCCTTGTTCTTTACCTTTGTGCCAGGCAGCTTCTCAGTGTTTAAGATGCTGTTGGCATCCAGTGTAACCCTTTTTGCCCATGCCTCTGCTATCGTTGATACCAAGCACGCTGAGTTGGTAAGCTCTTAGGCTCTCAGGTTTTCCTTCACAGGTAGGGGCTCTCCCTAATGACTAGGTGATTGTAATGACTAGTGGCTCAGATAGGAAGGAAACCCAGAAAAAGTAGCGTCCTTTATAACTGGGCTTAGTTCAAGATCCATAAGCAGATAGCTAGGAACAGTGCAGATGTAAAGATTAGCTTCTCTAACGTGAGGCTGAGAGTCACGCCTGATGAATGTATGTGGAATGCCTAAGAGACTGTGTTAGTGCTCTTTGCTAAGTGTGGGCAGGACACAGACCCTGCAGAAGAACCTTCTTGGTGGGTATGATGTGAGGGGATTCCTTCCTTCAATGAAACGCATTTTCAAAGGTGTTGAAGTCTCATACTTCCTGACCTTTTGGACTCGATGACTCTTTGCTTTCTGGGCCATGGAAGCTTAGCTGTTGTATTTTGTGTTTCTGGTTTAGGTGCTGAAACCAAGAACCTACAGTTACTTGATCCCAAAACTGAAATGTGTGGGGAAGCCGAAAAACTCCTCATACTATCAGGAAGAATCCAGGAAGTTGCCACTCAAAGACTTGAGGTAGGAGATGCCTGTGAAAAAAGAAACATGTTAAAGAAGCACAGAATAAAGAGGGAAAAGAAAAACTTCAGACAGATGACAGCAAAGGACTGTCAGTTACCGGAAAGCTTCAAAGAAGATGAAGACCAGAAATGTAAGAAATCTGGGGAAAGATACAGCCTTGGTTCTGACTCTGTTAAAAATCAGAAAATTCCACCTGGACAAAAGCCTTTTACATGTAGTGTGTGTGGCAAGAGCTTTAGTCAGAGTGCAAACCTTGTTGTACATCAGCGAATCCACACTGGGGAGAAGCCCTTTGAATGTCACGAATGTGGGAAGGCCTTTATTCAGAGCGCAAATCTTGTTGTGCATCAGAGAATCCACACTGGACAGAAGCCGTATGTGTGTGCCAAATGTGGCAAAGCTTTCACACAGAGTTCTAATCTGACTGTACATCAAAAGATCCACTCTTTAGAAAAAACCTTCAAGTGCAGTGAATGTGAGAAAGCCTTTAGTTATAGCTCACAACTTGCCCGGCACCAGAAGGTCCACATTACTGAAAAATGTTACGAGTGCAATGAGTGTGGGAAAACATTTACTCGGAGCTCAAACCTCATTGTCCACCAGAGAATCCACACTGGGGAGAAGCCCTTTGCTTGTAATGACTGTGGCAAAGCCTTTACTCAGAGTGCAAATCTTATTGTACATCAGCGAAGCCATACTGGTGAGAAGCCATATGAGTGCAAAGAGTGTGGGAAAGCCTTCAGTTGCTTTTCACACCTTATCGTGCACCAGAGAATCCACACTGCAGAGAAACCATATGACTGCAGCGAGTGTGGGAAAGCCTTCAGTCAGCTCTCTTGCCTTATTGTTCACCAGAGAATCCATAGTGGAGACCTTCCATATGTGTGTAATGAGTGTGGGAAGGCTTTCACGTGTAGCTCATACCTACTTATTCACCAGAGAATCCACAATGGTGAGAAGCCTTACACCTGTCATGAGTGTGGCAAGTCCTTTAGGCAGAGGTCAAGCCTCACTGTGCACCAGAGGACCCACACTGGGGAGAAGCCCTATGAGTGTGAAAAGTGTGGGGCAGCTTTCATTTCTAACTCGCACCTCATGCGACACCACAGAACCCATCTTGTGGCGTGATGTGCAAAGGAAGAGAAGGACCTCCAGCTGTTGGCCATAACCTGCTAACCCCCAAATGAGACACCAGGTTGTTACTTTCTTCCAGTTTATAAGAAAGCAGCCTATGTCTTTTAGAATTTTCAGCACAAGATAAGTGTGTCAGAGATAACTTATCACTGTCTAAGAATGGAAACTGAGCTCCTCAAGGCAAGGCAGGAAATTTGTTTTAACTATCTATGCTAGGCAGTCTTTTTCTGCAACACTTTTTTTTTTTTTTTTGCAGAACCGGGGATTGAACTCAGTCCCTTGAGCTTGCCAAGGAAGCGCTTATTCCACTGAGCTATCTCCCCGGCCCCATGTCTTTTTTTCTGAAATGGAATGTAGCTCTCTTAGGAATGGGTCACACCAGGCTAACTGATAATGAGCCTGTTTGGGGGAGAGTCTTGTTTATTTACTTTTGTTTGTTAAAACATAGTTGCTTGAGGTACAAATTGTCAACCTGGTTGAATTCTGGAAATTTGAACATTTTGATCTAGTATTTCAGGTTAAGCAATGATTAGTACAGGAAACCACTTGGGTAGTAGTTGAGCAGCTCACCTGTGAACATTTACGAGTTTTCTATGTAATTTTTGTCCTATCATATAGGACAAAAACAGCTACCCATCTGCTGCTCTTAAGTGAACAGAAATAGCAAACAGATTTTTTTCCCTTGTTTTCTGTACCTCTGGAACCTTGGGTTTGTAATGCAGCGAGGACCTCTGGCAAGTCCTCTTGCCAAGGGCTTGAGGACTGATGCAGTCACTACATACCAGCCACGCTGACTTGCTAAGATTGATGACTCCCTTACAACAGCCCCACTGCCCAAATATGCCCAAATGCCCACATTCCTTTTGGATAAGATGCAACCACAGTTCCAGGACAGAGAAGTCAAAAAATAAAGCTTTCCTGAGACATGTCCAGGTTGTCTCTGCTCTCGTGCTTCACTGCCAGGCTCTTGGGGTGGGTTTCATTCTCACATTCCAGGTGGTAGTTAGAAGAAATGGTGGAGCTCTTCTAATTCTGAGGGGACCCAAAGGGGAAGTAAAAGGGGGAGGTGGGTGGGATTCTTAAGGTCTTAGTTTGACTTGTGAGCAGTTCAGGGGTGTTGGGATGTGAGAGCTGTGACAAGGATAAAACTGGCTAAGTTTTTTTAACCAATGAGCTTTGACTCTTAGAAAAATGATTTATAAAACTATGCAATAGGTAGTCCTGTAATACCACCTTCTGTGTATGTAGAACTTTCAGGTGGTGTGTGCTCATGTATAGAAAGTTGACACCTGGCATCTCGTGCTTTCCCTTCGATCCTTACCTTCATCTTCACGACACCACAGAGGCGTTTTCTCATTTACTTGAGTGTGTCCTCTAAGGCCAAGTAACACAGGACCTGCTGCTTGCTCAAATTATTCCCATCCAGGCCTGTGGGGAGCCCGAGAAAGGAGTCTGCATTCTTGTCGAGGTGGTAGATCTGGGGATTTGCCTTTGGTGGTGTGACTAGGAACAAGTCTAAGACTGCATTTGGGTTTCCTGACTTCTGGCTCTGTCTTGTACACTCCGTTCCCAGTGTCTGAGCAAGCAAGAGCAGTGTCATGCTGAAACTGGTGATAGGCAGTCTGGCTGCTGCCATGGAGAGGTCTCCTGCATTTATTGTCTCTCCTGCTGGAGCGTTAATCAGTGTTTTCTAGTTTACAGAGCACTTTCACACACAGAAGGCAGGAGAATATTGTTTTCCACTCATTTTCCCCTTTACATCTTTGCCAAAGCATGCAACTTCATTCCCCAGTTTCATTGTACTTACAAGAAAAAATATAAGAAATAAGGATTCATGGGCTGGTGAGATGGCTCAGTGGTCTAAAGCACCTACTTAGAACAAGCTTAGCAAAGCACAGGGACCGCGGTTCAATCCCCCAGCACCACATGCCAGCCAGCCCTGCCCCCACCCACACAAATAAAATTAAAAAGAAATAAGGATTCAAAGGTAGGCCTTAAAAAATTACACCCTTGCTGAATCTGACAGTTAATATCTCTTCCTGCCTGTGGTTTACGGCTGGAGAGACTCCACGGTAACACTGTGTTTTCTGACCTTAGGAAAAAATTAGGTGTCCTGTTCCTGCGCCTCCCCCCACCCCCAGGAGACCAGGAAGCTCTGAATATCAGAAGTTAGGACTGGATATAGCACTGTGGACTTGATCCGCCAAGAGACCAGTCTTTTGAGGGTTTTGTGATGACCATCAAAATTGTTTTGGCTTTACATCAGTACTGAGTTATTCAAGGATAATTGACAATGTTTTTGTTCATAGAAAGCTACTCAGGTGGTTCTGATGCAAAGCTAAGTTTGGAATCACTGACCAACTGTGTAGTCGTGGTTTTTAACCTGTGTTATTTGTTGGAGTCATCTAGGGTTCTTTAAAAAAATGTCCATCTCCAGGTCTTAGTGTTTTTTAAGACCTGGGAAGGAATTATAGTGTGTATCCCGGTATGAACCATTATAGTCAAAGCCTGCAGGCCAACTGTGTGTGTGTAAGAATGTGGACTCAGCTCTGTAGTTAGTGTTCTGTGTTTCAGCAGGGTAGGACATTTGTTCTACCTTGCGTCGGCTCGATGTCCCTAAGTGCCCTTGCCAACATGTGTTTGGATTCTGTGACCTAACTTGCATTAAAGTGAACTCACTGCTTGTTTTTGTTATAAATTTACATTTTTGTTAGTACTTCAACTCTGGACCTGGGTTTCCACATCTGTATTCAGGTTCAGGACCTCCAAACCTGCTCAGATCATGTGAACCAAGTAGATACCCAGACAGATGGGCTCGTTCCTCACCGAATAGCACCTCTTCCCACTTTCAGCACTCTAACTATCATGCCATTGTCATTACAGTTTCTAATAGGAGTGACTCCTTTGTTGCTGACATTGGCCAAGGTTTTCTTATGCTTCGGGTCATCTCTGGTTTTGGCTGGTCTTTATTGAAATGGTTGGCAACTCGAAAGTTTGACTGTTCAGAGGGCTCTGTGCCATATCTCGTGGTTGGCAGAGCCAAGAAATCTGTCTATACCCCCAATTTAAGCCAGTAGATTTGGGCTATTTGGCACACAGGGAGGTCAAACTGCTCTTGAGAGTACAAGAGAAAAACTGTCAGCTCCTGCCGCATGCATGTACAGACCTACTCAAGCGGGAAACCACGAATTCCTCTCGATTCCACCAGCGATGTCTTGGCAAAGCTGGCCTGCTTCACCCTCAAGCTCCTCCATCCAGTGCACCTAACTGGCCTGCTTCTTCAATGCCTTTCACAATTTGAAGGTTGTGGATGCTGTCCCCAAGAAATGCACTTCGTGCCTAGTACCTCTGTGCTCTTTCGTAGGACGTCCAGCCCAGAAAATCCACGTAGCTAAAGCCTGATGTCCTGCATCAGCGTGGACTGCATGCTTACCCATGACATTTTCAAAGATTGATAGATTACAGTATCTCTTAAGTGTCACACACACACACACACACCCCCCTTGAGTCTTGCTTTTCTTGATTCCTTTTCTCATCAAATGGAAGCAATACCTCTACCACTTGGTGCACCCTCACTAAATACCCAGGAGGCAGTTTGAGCATCTGTGTAGCATTCATTCACCATGAAAATTGGGTGCACTGGCTTTGGGGTTCACATTGCGCTAGATCCCAGAGGTCCTCCCAGCCAGCTCCTGTTGCAGAGGAAGAATGTCAGGATCCCTTAACACAGCTCCCTAAGTGTTTCATAATCCCCTTCCAGCATCATCTCTGCACCTCCAGTGTACCTTCTGCAGCCTAGAGCAGCTGGTACAAACGCCTTAGAGCTTTTAGTACTCACAGCCCTCTGCTGCATGCGAGCTCTAGGCTCACCGCCCCAGGCCTAGAGGCAAGAGCTGCTTTTCCCTGGGCCTTTGCCTCTACCTTCCACAGTGCCTGAAATACCTCGCCACTGCTTCCTAGCCAGCTCACCCTCATGGCCCAATTTTGGGTTTCTTGTAAGACTGGCTTCAGGTCCCATCTCTGGGACACCTCTGGCAGCTCCGTGGCCCATGGCATATTGAGAAGTAGAGGTAGAGGATTTAAACATGGTGTGGTGGGCAGTTTTATTCGAAGTTTAGAGCTAAAGAAAACCTAGACTAAGTTGTCAATGTGGGCAGTTCTCTGTATTGTTGCTGTTACACACATACGGTACGAACTATACTATTTTTAAAAAATTTATTAGAAACAGGGTCTCATTATGCAGTTCAGACTCATAGTGATCCTCCTGTCTCCTCTCTAGTGCTGGGATTACAGGAGTATGCTCCCATGGCATGGCGTGTGGTACTGGGGATCAATCTCAGGTCGCTGCACTTGCCAGCCAGGTGCATAGACCGCTGAGCTATCTCCCTGGCCCTAACTGTATACTGTTAAAAAGTATGTAGACTAAAAAGTAAGGAAACTGGAGTGGGTAAGCGACTTGCTCATATCCATTCTGATGGTAAAGGCTGGAGTGTAGACTCAACCCAGGTCCTTTGGATAATGTTGGGGATATTAAAATGACTTATTTTAGTAATTTCAATATTTTCTATAAGGAGCAAGACTTTTATAATCAAGAAAAGTGGGTTATTACAAGTTTAGTTTTATTGACAATGATAAGCAGTATCTCAATTACCCATCTTGGAAAATGTTGGTGCAGTTGGTGACCTTCCCAGGTGAGCGGTGTCTGCTAAGGCCTAGGTGGTTGATCCTGCAGAGATGCTTCAAAGCTTAATCAAAAATAATCTGTGTCCCTATGAAGCCGTACTATACCCAAGTCTACCAGGAGATCTGGATAGGAATGGGGTTGATGGGCTTCATTGTTTATAAAATCAGAAGTGCAGATAAAAGAAGCAAAGCCTTAAAAGGTTCAAGTCCTGCGCCTGCTCACGGTCACCATTAACCAGCTCTCGAGTACCCACG